CATGAGTCATGATTTATGACTGAAAAACTTCGATCCCGGGTATGAGGGGCTAAAGTGGCCTCTGAGACGATGGCTGGGCTCACGCGTCTTGACCTGGTCAAAAGTACCGGTTTCCGAGAGAGCTTTCTTGTACAGTCGCTGCTTCTCTGGACAGTGATGATTACGGAACGTCTTGCGAATGCTTTCAAAAAGGAAGCGAAACGACTACTATCTGCATGTCCGATCGGCAGAAACCCCGGGAACGGCGAAGAATAGACTGGGGCAAGTGTATGGAAGGACTCTGCTCCAGATTCGGATTATCTTCTGCCGAAGCTCAACGCTGGCACAGGACCGGGAACATTGGAAGCAGTCTGAAGCGTTTGCTTACGCGACTGAAAAGGATAAACAGTCAATGAAATTGACTAGGTCTGTGACAGCTATAAATTGTGTACAGTAAAATGATAAATGCTATAAGTTATGCTTACGAAACAATTTAATACAGGTAGCGGTTTTGCGCTTATCTACCTAGTTTTTGGTCATTTCCATAGTACTTGTTCTATTTTTCTGTTGTTTAAGCCGTCTGTGAGTGACAGCGGTTCAGATAACGCTTCGTCCATGTATGTTGGTGAATGCAAGAGTTCCTTCATCGGATCAAACCAGTTTTCACAACGATATAGCATCAGTCTCTTGCTCTTAAATACGCATAGAACGATTTAAGTAAGCGACGGCCCTATTTCGTTTAAACACGTGCGGTGTATAGATGCAATCTGGATTTTGGTTCTGGCTAAAGCAATAATTTGTTTGTTATCAACCGGCAGTTATGACGGTGTATAGAGTCGCGAAACCTATTTTGATGTTTTTTGGGTTTTTATTAGCATTCAGTCAACCGATGTGTTCTGTGGTCGTGTCAAGTTTGCAAACCAGAATGAGCAAACATTTATTTGAGCATCATCAAAATAGTGTAAATATCCATATAACAAGATTGACAATTCACCACACATAACAAAATTGGTAAAATACCAGGGATCGCTTACAGATGAGTGATAAATGCATTAGCACCACGATGCAGTCAAACAATTCACATGTTCGTTCTACCATGCAAGCGTTAAATGGCTGAACAATTAAAAAATAAAATAAGGGTATCTAAAAGATTTTTTTAATCTAAAAGTTAAACTTTGGCATGCATGCATAATGAAATAACCAGAGATTGAGTTTCATTTAAGTGTGGTAGCAAAATAAACCCGAAGGCTACATTAATAAAATTGAAAACTTATTAAACAGATTTACAAAACAAAAGTTCGTCAGAGAAAACGGTATGAAACATGTAAGAAAATTTAGTAAATGATGAGGTCCCTATGATAGTGAAGCAGCAACTGCTATAAACCGACTCGAGGAAGAAATGACATAGCTAATTCGTATCCAAGAAAGCAAGCCTGAAAGCAGTGTCTCTTAAGGTGGGCTGCTGTTTAATGGAACATACCGCATTAGCAGGAAAGGCCCTGAGCATGACTGGAGTGAAGCCCTTGTAGAAGGACTTAATGCCTTCAGTCCTGAGCATTTCGTTCGCCACGTCTCGAATCCCCTTTGGATATTTCCCATTAGGAGCTATAAATAGGTAATTAACATCAACGGACGGTTTGCAGGGAATACTTACCAGTTTGTAACCGCGACTTCATCACATCAGGAGGAATAGCGACAATCCAGTTGCATATTCCAGCAATGCCTCCGGCTAAAAGAGTCTTCAAAGGACTCAGCTGATTGCGGCTAAAAAATCGAACTTCTTTGCCAGTAACAATGTTTCAGGTTTTACTTCTTTCCTTCCGGCGTGAAACGTCTCATCAGGTACTCATAGCTGGCAAAATAAACGCCACTGGCAGGAACATCTAGGACACTGACATCAATTGTTAAGCAATTTACAACAGCAAAGGCAGAACAATTTTGTGAAAACATGCACTATATAAATGACTGCCGGGCAGGCTATAAAAACGGTAATTATCGTCGTTACTGGCATCACGCCTTGACAATTAACGGGTTATCTTGTGAACACTTCAGTGCTGAGTTGCATTTACAAAGCAGATAATTAACGCCAGCTGCGACCAAAACCGATTAACCAAACCGGCAGCAACAGACATAAAAACAACGTACGAAACAAAACTGTCAAGGCGTTTCACTAACGAAGGATCTGTTCATTTAAAACTTAACAGTGCAAAGAGAGGTAATGTGACAGTACGTAGTAGTGGTAGTGGAGCAATGACACAGTGCAGTCATTCGGACTCATGCCGGAAATGTCGGTTCGAATTCAAGTGCAAAGTGAGTTTTTCTTGTAATTTCCTTGAATAAGAATTCATTACCATACATTAAACTCCGCCACTGCCGGTCCCAAGCCCGGATGAGAAAGCAGGAGGGCTGGAGACTGTGGCAAGTCTCCGTAAAATCCAGCCACCTGCAAATCATGGTCTTGACGCCATCGAAAATTATATCGGCTCGGTCGTCGCCCGGGTTACCAAGGGCCGCGCACGCTGTTGGGGGACTGAGACAGACTGCGAAAAGTCGGCGATCAGAACCTGCTCACTGCCCTCTGCCAGCCGGGGGCGTGGCGGCACAACGACGGCTGACGAAGAAAGACGCAACGACGACGAAGATACCAGTTAGCAACGGAGTTGCTACCCGTTCTGAACGGAGGAGGCAGACAGCGCGATGCCATCACAGCACGTCAGAAAAGGCTCCACGGA